CCTCAAAGCCATTACCACCCGCATAGTATTGCAGAGCCATGGGCCCCGGTTTCTCATGGGTGATTTCAACTTGGAAACCCCTCAAATTGATCTTGCAAAATTGTGGCAGAATCATGGATTTGTGGAAGCTCAAACATTTGCTCACTATGCATGGGGCCAAGAACCACGCAAGACCTGCAAGCAAAAGACCATCAAAGACCATGTTTGGCTTTCCCGAGAGTTATTGCCTTTTGTGACCGGCGTCAAGGTTGATACCACTTGGTTTAGTGATCATGCTTTGGTGTATGTTGAACTCAAACCGTTGGGAGCCATGGAACCAGTCCCGATCTGGCGAAAACCCCAGGCTTTACCATGAGACCAGTTGCCTGAAGACACAGATTTTCCAACTGCCTCCAATTTGGATGCTTCCGATCCGGAACGATTTTATCCATTGTTTTGGCATGCTGTTGAATCCCAAGTCGATTCCAAACTCAGGGTAGGGCAGACATCCGGTCTCCAACCCATGCAGTGTGGCCGAGCCCAGACCACCGAAGTCAACTGGACCAATCAGGAACCCCCCCCGCTCAGAAGGGCGGGCTGCCATGGGGTACAGGGTAAGTTTATTGGGGATCATTGGCAGCACTACAATTGGACCCGCCAGCTCAGACGGCTCCAGAGCTACTGCAACATGACCAAATCCACCAATCAAAAAATTGTGCCTGACCGAGAAGTCCAAGCGCTTTGGCACTCGATCATTAAAGCACCAGGTTTCCCACAAGGGTTCCGTAGATTTTGGCCCCACAGAGCCTGTCAAACGGCAGGATCCCCAAAGAGCATTCCACGTTGGCCACCCAACCATGACCTTGCTTTCCAGATTTTCCAAAGTTTTCAAGCGGAACATCAGCTTTTTGAAGCCAAATTGATCAAGCAACGCCGTATGGAAGCTAAGCTTGCGCGCATAGCTGATCCACACAAGATCTATAAGGACACAGCAACACCGCAAGCAATGCCGGTCCACACCCTGTTGACCACATTCTCCACAACAGTGGAGTCAGTAGATCCAGATGGGTGCGTTACTTATAAGACAGGAGATTTGGATCCATCACTGCCTCTGATTGGACCTCAAGGGCCACTATATGTTGTCCAGCACATACCAGGGGAAATCAGATTGGAACCAGACACTGTTGAAGAAGGTAACACACTCACACAACAGCGGTATGTGGCCAGCCGCCAAGAAATGTTTCAACAATTTCAAGACCTTTGGCTTGACAAGTGGGATAAGCATCGACATACGGACACAACTAGATCGACAGCCTTTGCTAGTTTCATTGACAGAGCACTCCCACATCCACCTGAGGAGATGCCATACTTGCCCATCACCCTGGAGCAATGGCGCAAGGCCCTCCAACATAAGAAAAGTCGCACGGCAACTGGCCCTGATGGGATATCCAAAGAAGATTTGCTGAGACTGCCCACAGCCTTGACAGAAAACCTTTTGCAGATGTTCTGGCACATCGAACAAGGCCAACCCTGGCCACAAGCTATGCGCACAGGTTTGATAACAGCCATCGAAAAACGAATCCATGCAGATAGGCCTTCGGAATTTAGACCAATCTGTGTTCTTTCCTTACCCTATAGGATTTGGTCCTCCATCAGAACAAAACAGATTTTAGCCTGGCTAGCTAAATTTTCTCCAGATGGATTGTTGGGTAACAGATCCAAACGTGAAACGGCACATGTTTGGTGGAAAATTTCTGCATTGGTCGAAAGATCCTGGTATGATGGTGAGCCCCTGGCAGGGGGCATTAGCGACATTGTCAAGTGCTACAATTGCTTGCCGCGCATACCAGTATTCCACATGGCTCGGCAGTTGCGCATCCCTGAACAGATCTTGAAACCATGGTTTTCTGCCATCACTGGGCTGGAGAGGCGATTCGCCATCAATGGTGGAACTGGACCGGCCCTCAGAGCAACAACGGGCTTTCCTGAGGGTGATCCACTCAGCGTAGCCTCGATGTACATTGTGAACATCGGACTGTTTGCCTGGCTCCACCATGCCACACCAACAGTTCAATTATGGAGCTTCGTTGACAACATGGAGATCACTTCCCAAACTTCGGAAGGAATCATCGATGGTTTTCAAGGCATCAAGACCTTTTGCCAGGAGCTGGACATCGAGCTTGACTCATCCAAAACAGTAACATGGGCCACCTCCACCCAACAAAGAGATATCCTCAGACAGGCAGGTCATGCAGTCATTTATGACACGAAGGACCTGGGAGGCCAGATGACATTCTGCAGACGCCACACTAACAAAGTCTTGAGAGCACGAGCGGACAAGCTCACTGACTACTGGCCCCGCCTAGCCAGGAGCCCTGCCCCGCTTCGCCAAAAACAGATAAGCCTGCGAGTGGCCGCTTGGCCCAAAGCCCTGTATGGTATCAGTACCACCATTTTTGGCCAAGACCACATCAATCGGCTGCGCACACGTGCATTGCGTGGGCTAGGATGGTCCAACAAGGGTATGCACCCGATGCTGCAACTCTCATGCATTTGTGACATCCGCAGTGACCCAGGCTATTGGTGCCTTTGGCAGACAGTACTCTCTTTCAGACGTTTTGCAGACCCCTTGCCTTCCTATGAGGTATTGGATTTTCTGACAGATCAACCAGACCGCAGAGTTGACCCAGGCCCGTGTGGAGTGCTGCTCCAAAGATTGCACATGATTGCATGGTCATGGCAAGGCAATGGATGGTTCCTGGACCACAAGGGTTTGGCCATACATGTTTTTGACAGTCCAATTAGCCTCCTCAAGCGTCGTCTGCAACTAGCTTGGTGGACCTTGGCATGTTCCAAAGCTGCAGAACGCAACTCCATGGAAGGTATCGAGAATGCAGATGTAGCCTTGACACTTGCGTCCATGAAGAAGATTGAATTGTCTGACCAAGGGTTTGTACGCTATGCTTTGAATGGAAGTTTTTTCACCAATGATAAACTTATCCATAGCGGCTTAGTAGATCAAACCTCCTGTCCGTGGTGTCCTGCAGATGACTCAGTGTTACACAGACATTGGTTTTGCCCAGCCACGGCAGATCTCCGAGCAAAAATTGATCCTCAAATTTTGGACCAGATCCACCAAGCACCTTTGTGCACCCGCAACCATGGTTGGATTTCAGAGCCAGAAGCCTTGCAGGATTTTCATGCTTGCCTGCACAACTTGCCAGACAGAACAAAATGTTTTCAGACTCACCATTGTCATTTCCCCGTCGCTCACCTTTTCACAGATGGTAGTGCGGTCTCACCAGCGGACCCAATACTGCGAGTAGCTACTTGGGGAGTTTCACTTGCGACATTGCCAGCCAAAGGTTTTCTCACATTGGCCCAGGGTTTTGTGCCAGGCCTCATGCAGACGGTTTTGAGGGCAGAGATACTAGCATGTATATCAGCTTTGGAATGGATAGTTCTGCATGATAAGCCAGCTATTTTGTGGGTCGATAACCTCGAGGTTCAAAGAACATTGGAAGCTTTCCGCACTGGAGACACCGCATGCTCCAACACAAGCAATGACCACGACCTGTGGCAAAGACTGTTTGACCTTACCCAACAAGCAGTTGCACACCAACTGCTGATCAAAGTTGCCAAGATTCATTCTCACTCAACAGTTGAAGCATCGAGCAGTCCTGTGGAGAAATGGGCCATTTTGGGCAACGAATCAGCAGACCGAGCCGCAGAAGAAGCCCGCAGTCTTTTCACCCCACATTTTTGGAAAATCAGAGATAGTCTGAAACGCCAAATAATTAGCCGAGAGCTGATGAGGGATGCAGTCCACTGGATTTTTGTTGCAGTAGGTCAGCGTGCACAGATGGCGAAGACCAGTACACTTGACAGTGCAGTTCCGGTGCCCTCCTTTTTGCCACCACCTGAAGATGATCACCCATGTTTGTTTGATCCTTTCCCTACATGGACTGACAGGGATCCCGCAGTTCAATTGGGAGATAGCGGACAAATGGTATTTGACTGGTTGCAGCACTTGCATAACTTGCCAGGAGCTACGCCGCAATGGCTATCCTCCTACCAATTAGTGATTCATTTCCAACAGCACAGTGGAAGTGTCGGTCCGGTGTGCATCAATAAGCAGTGGTTCACAGCCGAACAAGGTATGCCACTGCATCACCAGTACTGCTTCACGCAGCAGTGCACATGGATGAGTCACTTTGTGGTGCGCCTCGCAAAGGCTTTCAACATCGAAGTTGGCCCCATTAGGCGCCGCCCTGCAGGTTCTTCTTTTCCTATCTGGACACGCTGCTTCAAGATCAAACTGCCACAGGAGATCATTAGTGGAATTGACCACGTTTTCCAGAAGCACATTGGTAAGCCCATACGCAAAGTAGGCAAAGACTTACAAGGGATGCCTGCCCTAACACAGGGCAGATGATCACCCATTGGCGAGCTTAGTTGTACATACAGCTGAGATCACATGGCCGAATGGGAAATGGGAAATGGAATGACAGAGGATTTCGAACACTGCTCATTTGAACATGGATGTCAATGGAGAACATGACATGATGATAATCCAGAAATGGGGAATATGGAATAGGACGATTTTATGGCCGATTTAGTAGTGGATGATTATTACACCGGACAGTCGCAACCATTATCATTATCATCATGTATTATATTCATCGTCATTGTCATTGTTATGATCACTATAATCATACATGCCGACCTTACATACATACATGCATGCATGCATTATCTGTATATTATTATATATACAATATATAATATATAATAGTATATATATATATAATATAATATAATATATAATATATATAATATATAATATATAATATATAACATATACAATTTAATATAATATATATATACTATATATAATATATAATATATAACATATAATATATAACATATAAAATAAAATAATATATATATATATATACTATATATAATATATATAGACATACACATTCTAGTCTACAGATAGATCATCTCAGCTGCTGGAGGATGTTGGACCGTGACCGCGATGGCTTTTTGCAGCAGGGGGAACTCATGGGCCTCGCGCGGCTCATGGGTTTCAACTTCTCGGAGGACGAGTGGCGCGCGGAGTACCAGGAGCTCTGCAGACGCTCAGCGTGGAGTTTCCACGGCGGTGGAATGTGGCCCTGGGGTTTTTGGGGTTTTTGGGGGCCCTGTTGGTGAATCATTTTGGATCTGGGGTGAAACATGTGGATTTCACCATGATGTTTGGGGGTTTCAAAACCTTCGAGAATATGGGGATCTAGTTGATAAATGCTGGTCGATTGACAATATGTTCGGTGGGTATACTGCCCAATATGTTGGGATTATCATAATCCATAGCTGCGAAACTCTGCTAACAAACCAGTACAGTATAATGGAATGATGTTGCGGGTTTTGAACAGTGATCAAATGAGTTCTGCAAGTGGCAGATTTACCGTCATTTCAATGCATATGAATGGAAAGGTATCAATGCAAAAAAATGGATTTGCTGCTCAGAATTGCCAAAGTCGTGGATATGAATGCCCAAGAATGGACATTTACCCGCATTTTATGGCAACTAGAAACAATAGATATTGATGGAGATCATTTTGCCCATTTGCCACTAAAAAGTGGTGAAAACGAACCTGCTTCGGTATGGATCGAGCTTGCTGCCGAGATCTATGGTTTTGTAGCTTGACAAAAACGTGAGGATAAAGCATAGACAGGTCTTGAATTTAATCCGCAGGGAGTTTATTCTGATGGCCATCCGTTCAGTAAACCTTTGTTCCCACAAGAGCCAGCCGTTGCCCACACAACCAGGTGATATGGAGATCCAGCCGCGCCTTGCCAACGTGGGTTTCAAAATGTGAAGGATGAGATTTTTTTGGACCCACAGGAATGGACTGTTCATAACTATTGGTAACTATGAAGCAATGATGATAGTGGGATCATAATGGGATAATCTAATATACTATCATGCTGCAAATGCCACTGTTCTTGTTATCACCATCATGGTTGCGACGGTTGTGCTTGTTAAAGAAAAGCTGCATCCCTGATTTTGTGCTTGGAGACGTATCTTGCAGTGCATCCATCATCCCCTGTCCTAAGGCAAAAGGGCTTTGACTCCATATCCTTTACCAAGTTGTTGGACAGCGAAGATGGCTGTCCAGCCACTGATGAGAATCTGTTCGAGGATGGGATGGGGCATGGCAGATGATCGTCTCATTCGCTAATTGCCTCGTGTGTGCTCGGGATTTTGGCTCGCTGGTGCAGGGGATGGCCTGACTCGCCAGTGCACGGGATGTCCCTTCATCATGATCATCATCATCATCATCATCCTCCTCCTCATCATCATCATCATCATCATCGTCATCATCATTGTCAAAATTGTTGCCTCTGACCACAAAGCATTGGTAGTGATTGCGTGTCGCGAATTTTCCTGGTAGATTCATCATTTGAATTGAGATATGAGACATGCCCCCCTCATGGCTCCTAAGTCCGATGCACAGTTGATCCAAGTTGATCCCCCAAATTTTGACACCTACTGGTAGTGCTGGTGGCGCTGTCCTGCTGTCAGACTTGCTCCATCCATTGTGTGAGGCACTGATCAATCATTGTCCCGACAAGAGGCGAGCCACTGCAGCAGTGGAGCTCTTTGATTCTCGGAATGTGTGGCAGCTGTCGAACATCGGTTACGTCGCAACACAAATCGCAGAGTCCAACTTTGAGTTGGAAAATACATGGGTATGGGTCAAAATTAGGTACCCCTGGTGAACATCAAAATAGCTGGTAAATGGATGTTCATTCCCCTAAAAATGGTATTAATAGGTATTGATCCATAGCCACATCAAAAAGTAGGATTATGTATACTGGCGTGGATACGACCAATCTGTTGGGTTTCGCCCCCAATCATAAAATGCTGGTAATTATTTAGGCCCCTCAACGTTTGGTGACAAGAGGGTCTGGCTTGTTGTAGACGGTCTTGCTTGTTATGTCAAATCTCTTCTTGAAGTTATACTTTCATCCTGGCTACGGCTTTTTTTGGTGTTGGAGATACCAAAATTTAGGTCGCAACCACCATTTCATGCTTTTCAGTCTCTAGAGACTTGCTTTGATCAACTTTGGTGGACCAGTTCACAGATCGATTTAACCTTTCCATCCTTTTCCCATCTGTTTCTCCTACAAAAACAATAGAATTTATAGGGGCCATCGATGATGGGACCACTATTCCCACAATCTTTCCATACTATTGGGATTTCTTTTGAAAAACATACAATTTTCATAATTTCCCCATAAAAACCACAGAATTTCCCATGAAACTATAGAATTTCCCATAAACACGATAAATTTTTCCATCACGACAACTATAGAATTTCCCATAAAAATCGTACAATGTCCAAGTTTAAAAACCTCTGGCTTCAGTCCTTTAAACAACGCCGTGGTGTTTTCTTTTCAGGAACGCTTAGACCTGGACCGCGACGGTTTCCTGTCCACTGGTGAGCTGCGGGAGCTTCCAGGAATGCAAGGGATCTCCTTGGAGGTGCGCCCAGTGGTTATAATAACCGTAGTTAATGATATTAATAACCATTGTTAATAGTGGTGAATAATGGTTAATCCTAGTTAATAGTGGTGAATCATGGTTAATACTAGTTAATAGTGGTTAATAATGGTTAATGATAGTTATATAATGTTAACATGGCATTAATAACCCCCCCAAACATTAAGAGCATTACAATAAAATCTAGGCCAAACATTCACCTAGGGTTCCTGGAAAATTTTCAGACCTATGTGGCGCCGAACAAATTGCCTAATTGAAAACGAATACATAAAGTGAACATTCTTTCCACTGTAGTATTCCCAAATGAATTGCCGAATTGAAAACGAATACATAAAGGGAACATTCTTTCCACTTTAGTATTCCCAAATGAATTGCCTAATTGAAAACGAATACATAAAGGGAACTTTCTTTCCACTTTAGTATTCCCAAATGAATTGCCTAATTGAAAACGAATACATAAAGGGAAAAATAACGAGAAAAACCACGGGAAAAAAACGGGGAAACAACGGAAAAAAAACGGAAAAAAATGGCAAAACAAACGGGAAAAAAAGTTGGCGTACTTTATTACCGTGGGGGGGGGGTATTAATTTTTCCTGGGAGTTGGCGTACTTTATTGCGGGTGGTTTATTAACGCCATGTGAACATTAATACTTAGTAACTTAGTAGTGGTTAAGAATCGTAGTTAATAGTTATATAATAATTAATAACCATTGTTAATAGTTAATCCATTATTAACCACTATTGCCATCTAGTTAGTTGTTAATGTCAACCCTGGATTAATAAACTCCTAGGTTGTTTCATTGAGGGGCTACCATTTAAGTATCAGATTATGACTATTTGGGGAGTACCCCCCCTGATTAATAAACTATGGTTTATTGACATTAATTACCATAGTTAATAGTGGTGAATAATGGCACTCACTGGTTAGATAGTGGTGTTATGTAGCGTTTAATAGCACATCACTGGTTAATAGTGGTTAATAACCATAGTTAGATGTTATATATAATAGTGGTTAATAATGGCAAACCATTTGGCTATTACTTCATTGTTAATAGCAAATCACTGGTTAGTGGTGAATAACGGCAAAATTATGGGTGAATATCAATTAATTAACCTATTGTTAACATTGGACAATAGTCAATAATGGTTAATTTATTATAGCAATCTAGGAATATTGATAAAATCAATGGTTATATGATAGTGGTTAATGATGGTTGTATAATAGGGGTAAACAATTGCTATCATTACCACAGTATTCTGCTTTCTGAATTTTGAATACATTCATAACACGTGTATTTACTGCTACTATTGAAGACAATAAAGGAACATGCTTAGTTGGCTAGAGTAGGGACTCTTATTTTTGCCAGTGCTCAAGATGTATGGTATCTTTCGTTTCACATCGGTGCATTGCCTGGCTCCGGCAGCCATTTCCTGGACGCTCCCCCAAATGAATCCTCAAGATCTTGGCAGCTTGCTTCACGATGGCGGCTTGAAACAAAGGTGTTTGGGAAGCCACACTATCTGCAAGTAGTGCAAACCATTTTCAATAGAGATTCTTTGGTGTTCACCAAAACATACCAAAACAACTTTCCAGCCCTTGTCCAAGTCCAAGTCCGGCTGTTCAAGACCAAACAAATCGGCAGAATCCTGGATCATGGCAATCATGGCCCAGGGAATTCTCAAGAAACTTCCACATCTTCAACCAAAATTTCCCCAGAGAACCCGTTGGGTTCTAAATATCCCCAGATATCCCCAGATTGGGGGAAGATCAGCCCATTTCAGCAATGTCAGCAATGCCAAAGTGTCAAAGTATCATGTGACCCACACGAAGAACGCTCTCCCAGCAATGCCGAAGCGAACTTCGCCACCTGAAGTGACGAGTGATCAGAGTGTGGCTCCGCAACTCGGTTTGATGAAGAGCGCCAAGAAGTGGGTTTGTATGAACAATGGAAGATCTACTCCCATCTTATGTATACTTCAATCGGGAAAGGTTGATAAAGTATGAATTGTATCTGATATTTAATTTAGTGGCATCCGATTTTTGGACAAGACCAAGATGCCAGTTCACACCTTCCAGCTATAGCTGCTGGTGGTTCCTTGCGGTTTGCCATATGTGGATGGGTTTGTCTATGTGTGCGATGAACATCCGGCTAGACACCAGCATACCACAGCTGTTTTGGCGTGAAGGACAGGATAGCGGGGTATTGACCCATAGCCTAACCATCTCAAGTACCCTCTGGTAAACTAACATAACTATGGAACATCACCATTTTTAATGGGAAAACTCACTATAAATAGCCATTTTCCATTGCTATGTTAGTTCACCAGAGGGTATATGATATGCAATCATTTTGAACCCTGGGGTCTTTGAGTCTGGCAGCTCCTACTGGGTGATAAATGCGATAGAAAACCTGACGGATGTGTTTTCTCCTCGGATTCCTGCTGTGTTGAGGCATGACTTCGCTGGTTGCTCGGCAGTGCAAATGGATTTCGACTTCCAGCGTGGGCACACGATGTTTTACATTAATTGAATGGTATATAGTTCGGATTCCCATTATATACCATTATATAACATATATAATACCATTATATGGAACCATGGTTGGTACTTCCATATATAATATGCTCTGTCTTCAACTATGGTTCTGTATCCAGTTGGCTACTCCTATCCTCTCGGATCCAGCGATTCGCAAGCTCTCCCGTTGGTTGCTTCAAATCAGATGTGAAGCTGGAACTGTATGCTACTTGCTTCGTTGCCTTCTTGGTGGAAATGTTGTTTTCAAGATTTTCAAGTGAAAGAGTCATAGGGCCATGTAGCACCGGCCATGAGGTTTAGCACAGATACTGAAAGATGGAAAGTTCTCAGTGACTTGGAACAGGATAGAGGGGCGGTCCCGGTGGAAGCAGTGATCCTGGTCCTTGATGGAGTTGATGCATCTTTTCTTGGCCAGTGTCTCCGTTCTTGTGTTCAAGATTTAGTTTTAATATGTTCTAGTATGTTCTAATATGTTCTAATATGTTCCAATCAATTCTAATGTACAAAAAGGATTGAACTTTTTGAGAATGTGTTGAACTAAGCACAGTATGGACACAGTTGCATGCAGCATATGCAGGCAGTCGTGATGGTAGTTGTTTGTAGACAACGAAGTCATCTCTGTCCGGTGTACTTCGGACTACGTTTGCGGTTCCTTTTTGTTTCTTTATTGCTCATTCTTGTCGGTTGATCACCACGTTGTTGTTTGGATGCTAGAGTTTGTTCTATTCCTATATGCCCACGGTTGGCCACTTGAACCCCATTTTTGAAACTTGAATTGCATGAACCCCCTTTGTTCAATGCTGCAATCCCATGTTTTCATGTTCAACTCCCAATCTTGATGCTACCCCATGTTTTCTATCCATTCTCCATATTAAAATTACCCCAAGCACTCCATGATGTCCATCCAGCATCGAGCTCAGGATCTAACCATCGACCTTGGACACCTCAGTGGTCCTGGTCCCGTCGGCCACGTCGTTCCCATCCGAGCGCACCGCGTGGTGCTGGCATCGGCCAGCGATGTCTTGAGAGTCGCGCGACGCGCGCGACAGGGATCTGATGGGGGAGCTAGGGCAGATTTTTTTTCGCTTGGATATGATATATAAGGATCTACTACAGATTATTATAGTTGGAAGTTGGAATGTGTTGGAATAATTGGTGGGACATGTATAACCAACAATATATGGAATACTGCATTGGCGTGTCTGAACATAGGGGACTTACATGGATTCTCCTCGGCATATGGCTCCTTTAATGGCGAAAAAGATAGACTATCAACAATTATCATTTTTATATTTTCAGACAACCCCAATTTGACAAAACTTTCTTGCGGCTTAACCATGGAATACCAGGAACAATTATTGGGGACTGGAACAATTTATCTTCAGTGAAACATGACAGATTTCAAGGGTCCAACCAACCAAAAGACGTGGGAGTTTAAGTGTTTTATATCTGGACTGATGGAAAGATTGGGGCATTTTTACTTGAACCAAATAATGATCAGAAATGCACATCGTTTGGAAACCGACAAGGGATGGGTCATGAGATGGGTCATGAGATGGGTTGTCAAGGCACAGCTGGAAGGAACCTTTGGAGATGACAAGGACCAGCGGTGACCAGCGGTTCTTGTCTTGGTGAAGCAGTGAACAGTGAAATTGTTGTAATCTGCACTGTACTCTAACTTGCCAATGGAATAGAACATAGTAAACATAGTATAATTATGTTAGATCAAATCATCTATAGACGTGAAACAACACATTGTAACTGGGTGGATTGCCATGTTTGATGTGCAAATAGGTGATGTCCAACGCCGCCAGGACTGCTGGCAGCCTGACTGCGGATCCTTTGGTGCCTGGCGTTGGATTATCTCCTGGATCTATGGCAATGTGGAACCATTGCCATGGGAGCCTTGGGCCGAAAGTGATCCCCCCCAAACCCCCGGATCTGCTGGTTGGGATGGTGGTTGATTGACTGGAGCCATTCCCACTGGCTAGTGTACTGGAGGGTAAGCAATACCGATCTTGTGGATAATATGGGTTTATGGCAATCCCCTCATAAAGACAGAAAGTAAAACCCCACTAAAATAGTGATGGATCACTTTTTGGGGCTTGCATTTACACTCAGGAAAAAAGGAAGTTACAGTAATCGGGAAAAATGGAACAATGGGATTGCTCGGCCCTTCGGAAAAAAAGGAAGTTACAGTGCCGATCGTGTGCCTGCGTGCCTCGGCCCTTCGAGCCCCCCAATTTGAGGCAAATCCTTGCTGAAATATCCTGCTTCAGTGAAGTCCATCAAATCACTCACACCCAAAAGTACATAAACTTATCATAACTTATCGAAGTACCACCTTTTGTTGACCAACGGCTCCTGGCTGCCATCTGCCTGCACAGCAAGATGGTGCTGTCCATGTGTTGAAACTGATTCATGCGGTTCACCCTGGAAAGCTGAGGACTTGTTGGTGGAAATCTTGGTGGTCGCAGATCGATTTGGCATTCAAGCCTTGGTCTCTGCCATTATGGATCTGGACGTCAGCGTCCTGGTGGCAAAAGACTCAGCAGCATGTTGGGTCAACCGTAGGGGTTTGCCGAAGCAAACAAGGTTTCTGAGCTCGTGACCATTGGGTGGGTGGTGGGGGGGGTGGGGGGGGGTGGGGGGGGGTGGGGGGGAGATGTTAACGTTCATTGCGACTGCTATGTTCTCTTGTACTTCCGCACATACGTCATGCTACGCTACTGCTAGGTTCTCTTGCACTTCCACACATACGTCATGCTACGCTAGGATCAATCAAGAACGGCAATCTGCCACGAAAAATTGCCACTCATGCGGCACGCGATCAATAGCACCAAACATTCGAACAAATCATCGAAACTCAACATGGCTCCGAAAGAAGTCTAATTATGATGTTCAAAAAAAACACACAACTTTATTTCTCTTTCCAACAAATCTCAAGTTCAAAAATCATGCTATTTTTTCCGCGGGATCCCGCGAAAAAAACATGTTCGCCAAACATGAACCTGGTTCAAACAAACATCCCTGATCATGCAAACATCTTGCAAATGCTCATGTGAAACCAATGAAAAACATTGAAAATACCATGAAATTTCCTCCTACTAAACGGCTGTGGATGGACATACATGATCTTAACATATGTTACCCTTCTGCAAACTCATTCCGACTCACGGCAAACCCCCCCGGGAAACCCAGCATGTTGCTTCAAAGATAGCATCTCACTGTGTTTTCTTGCAAACGCATGGGCCAAAAGTTTCAAAGTATTTCAAAGTACTTTTCTAGTTTCTCTACTAGAAGACGATCAGTCGGCAGAGACCTGATTTTTTTCAGTAGCACATGATTTTATGAATAGCTCTAGAGATTTAATGGGTAGCTCTACAGCCTCACAGACAAAGAGGCTGAGCTAAAGCAAATCTGATGTAAGCAATTGCTTCCCCCAAGGTTCCTGGTTTGAGGATTTGATGAGAGTATTTAATAATTAGTCTCAAAGTGCCTGAACAGGTTTGTATCACTGACTATCATTGCAACTCTTTCACATCACCATGGGTTTTTAGTGCTGTTGACCGGAAGGCAGCAAGACTGGCATGAAGCTATTCTTGATATGCCAAGATGGCACACAAATTACTGCAAAAGAATAATATGTGCAACACATTAGTGTGCGTCGCGCAAGTCTGTAGACTCCTTGCAATTTTGGTCATGGTGGTGTCCAGAGCTAATCTCAATCATCCGGGGTCAATAGATCCATGTCCAACGTCATTCCAGGCCTTTTTCCCAACCGGGTGCCACATCGTCCATGTTCAAGCTGGACTCAAATATGTTTGGTCATGCCCCCTTGTTTGGGATTGATACACCCCAAGTTACAGTTACAGTATCTCCAAGAAATGGTGGGATGGTGGGATGATCATCTCATATTTGTCTGGACTTTGGATGACTTTTAACCATGGCACATATGGGTATGGATCAATACCTATGAAAATACCATTTTTAGGGGGATGAACATCCATAAATCCCAGCTATTTTGATGTGAACTACAGGGGTACAAGGTTTTGACCCACTGCCATATCACAGATTTTCACAGCCAGGCAGCAAAGCGGAAGAAATTCTGGAGCAGTTTCTGGACGCCTTTGCGCTGCCTGAAGTAGTCGCCAAGCTTGCCACGAGATGCCTCCCACAGGCAGGGCTTTGGGACCATCAACATCCAGATGGAAAAGTCCTTGGGTTCGATTTGGGGACACTGAAAAAACAACAGGTTAGGTCACAAAGGTTAGTAATGGTTAGTAGATGTGGAGGGATCTTCTAAGAATGCAGCATAGCATCTGAAATTTCAAAACAAATCATAGTGATTTACACCTTCTGGTACTTCAATGATGTTTAATATAGCAATTGCACTTCTTTTCCATTTATAGATTATTTTCAATCACTTTTATTTATAAGGAATGTCCCATGCTGCGTTGGTAGGTGGTGTTGAGCAACAGCCTATGGAAGCGCGTGGCTTCAGCGCAGTTCAGCAACGTTGTGCTGGTGGTGAAGCATTTGCGTCTAACACCCCTGGATGAGGCTTGGGGCAGCCCAAACGACTATCCTAAAAAAATAAGGACATGGGTATGGGTCAATACCTATAGATACCATTTTTAGTGGGATGAACATCCATTTACCAGCTATTTTGGGGTAAATACCTATAGATACATTACTATAGTGGGTTATTCACATCCATAAATCCCAGCTATGACTTGGGGTTCACTAGGCACGGTACCAGGGTTTCGACCCATCCCCACATGATTCAATTATGGGCCTGGATCAATATGATGCAACTCGCTATAATTATATAGTATTAATTAGTGGCTTTATCCGAAAGCTTTTTGTCTTCATTGTTCATAGATTGAAATGATCCTTGTTTCTTTGGTGGTTTCCGACATCACATCTTATTGCTTGAATTCGATCTAAAATCCAACAGTGTTCTTGTTCTTGTTCATGTTCTTGTTCGTGTTGTTGCTGTTGCTGATGCTGCTGCTTATGTTTGTTGCTGTGGTAGTAGTAGTAGTAGTAGTAGCAGTAGCAGTAGCAGTAGCAGTAGCAGTAGCAGTAGCAGTAGCAGTAGCAGTAGCAGTAGCAGTAGCAGTAGCAGCTGTTGTTGTTGTTGTTGTTGTTGTTGTTGTTGTTGTTGTTATTGTCGTCGTCGTTTTTTCAATTAGTTACATCATCGAAAATCGAACCTTTTTGCTTTTTTTTTGGCTTGTTTACGTTTTCCTCATCTAACATCCCATATCTTGGTGTTTTTTGGGGATTAATTTCGAGTCCATATTTCTCCGAATTTGTTGGTGAACTCATAGAATTGGATGATGGGAAAATTTACAGGAACACCCCTATATTTGATGGTAAAAACCATGGTTTCCTGTAGATTTTCCCTTAAACCAATCCAGTGATGAACAGCTCCCCTGTAGGTCCTAGATCCCAAGTTGGCGGAAGAGTGTCGACTGCGACTGCTGGGTGAAAGCTTCAAGGATAAGGTGGCGGACATCCAACGTTTGGTGAGATCCAAGGGAAACATATGACCCTCTGGTTATTTAACATAGCCATGGGATTTCGATGGCCCATAGAAATAGATGGTTTACCTATTAATAGCATGGTGATTTTCCATGGCGATGTTAAGTAACCAGAGGGTATATGAAACCAGCACTGAAAGATGTGAAAAATGCGTGAGAATAGCACGTTTCATGTTGTTGAAGGCTTGGTTTTTATCGCTCACTGAATTCTCCAATGATTCCACCTGCTGAAGTTTAAGACTTGCAGCGGTTGACGAATTCCTTTGGTTCTTGACATGTTCATCAGCTTTGAGCTGCTTTGTGAAAGTCGTCATCCAAAAAGGTCGCGCTATCAATACCTTTTGTCATACCAGGAAAATGTTGCGATGCCGGACTGCTTCATCGATGCCATTCGCTGGGAAGTGTTTCTTGGAGTGGATATGTGGACACAGCCTGAGAGAAGCTGTGCATAGCTCATTCAACCGCAAGAAGAAAGCATGTGTTCAAACTTGTAGATTGTTACCAAAGGGGGGCCAGACATTTGTGGTCACATATCAAATGCTCATGTCAGACAACATTTGACAGCAAAAGTCCAACGCTTGGGAAGTGGAGACTCCCCCTGAATGATGTTTTGTTTGTTTGGGGACTACATAGTGTTATTATGATATGAGTTTTACATAGTAATAGTTATACTATCATTTCATGGAGAATCCAGATGAATTTGTCATCATTTGTTCAGCAGAGATGGCAAAAATCCTTCTGAACCAATCACTACAAGAGATGGGTCGAAGGGTTTGCCACAGCTTGTATCTGGGTTTGTCTGAAAATAGGGCAATTAATTACCTAAACATCTTATGCTTAATCATCGTTTTTGCGGAACAAACACATGGCCACACTGTGGATGGAAGACATCCTCCACTAGATGGTATATAGCTGGTTTATCCCGTTATATATAATCCCATTCTTTACAGTGTTTAATAGCTACCATCTGGTTATTTAACATAGCCATGGAAAATCACCATGCTATTAATAGGTAAACCATCTATTTCTATGGGCCATCGAAATCCCATGGCTATGTTAAATAACCAGAGGGTACCAAATGTTACCAATAGTTACCAGCTCAGGAGTTTTCTTCCACAGGTCGATTCATCGACAAACAAAAATCCAGCTGCAGGTTCCCTTCCCAGACGTTGAAGGCCGCCTTCTTTGGGGACCTTCGCTACTTCGAAGAATTGCTGGGTCGACCCTGGCAGCGCACCGAACGCATGAACAAGGTGTGTGATCCATGGAGTTACCTCCCAATTTCGAAAACAGGTCCAACAGCACTTGCAAACCGTCATATTTTTGAGACAGACCATAATCTTCCCTCAGAAAGAGAAGATCAGGACCTACATGAACAACGAACCATGTATATGATATGTAGAATCATAGAAGATGGAATCCGTTCATTTGAAAGACACACACACACAAACACGCACGCGATAGGTCATTTATAGTTGTCATCGTCCTAACAGATGCTCCCTTCACATTTTTGTGTTCAGAGAAAGGTATACTCCGGATAGATATTCATGGGATTTCATAGGTAGACAAGCACTACTATATGATACATTATGATACCACTGATACCATGTCGTGTTTATGCCGTTCGTACAGATCCAAGTGGCTTCTCGGATAGATCTGCGAGATGGTCCACCCGAGATAGTTCTCTGCTGCGAAGGTATGAGTTGTTGCCATCGTCATTGTCATCGTTTATGATCATGAGCAATGTATAATATCAACAACTGAAATATATCATATCATATCATAAATGATGACAGTGATTATGAGCAATGTATAATATCACAATGTTTTGAAAACATCTGTTTTCCCTGAAATTTCAAAACATGCAATGATAATCATTGATCAATGTCAACATGTCATGACAGCAGCAGGTGCTGGTGGATGCCTTGGCGAGACGTTGTGAACGTCTCGAGACACGTTTGGATGTGCCACTTGACAGGGAACGAATGTGGGAAACCTGCCATAGACAACTACCATCTGGATCCATTTGGTGATTTTGTTGATGCAACCATAATATAAACCCATAAAGATATGGATTTTATGGATTTCTCTGGGGATGGTTGGAAGGGGTTGCTCGAAATTCAACGTCCGTGGCCCGACTCGGCCGAGGATGAAGGTTCGCAGGCCACAAGCTGGACTCTTCGCGAAGTTCCTGGCGCTTCGGCAGTGCTGAATCGGTTGGTCGAACAGGTGCCGCAAATGATGGAGGAAACATCGAATCTACAACAAACATCATCATCATTCATCATCTATAATGTAGGCTGCCTAAGAATAACACCCCCTAAATTTTTGATATGTTTTTTTTTTCTTTTTAAGGGGGGGTCAGCATTCCAATAGTAAATTCGGATCAGATTTCTGGAATCTAAGCTTTTGTTAATGAAAAGTGCTTGCTGCTTTGAAAAGGGTTTTGCTTTACCTTGCTTTCTCCAAACACCTGAAAACAAAACCAGGGGAAGCACAATTGGAATTCATTATTGCCATGCCTGGTGCAGGTTTATTATTGCTATTCTAAAGGGGATACCCTTTGTGGACCTGTTTTCTTGTTTTTTTTTTTAAATAAGGGTTTTATAAGGAAATCAGCTGTTTGGTAATTGGATCAGATTTCTGGAATCTAAGCTCTGGATACTATACCATGCCCTCTAAACAAGGTCAGAACATGAGTTTTTTGGCAATACTAAAATTTAATTAGGCTAATTGACTTTTAGTATTGGAGAAAAAACTGGAGTTGGGAAAAAAGTTTCTACTATTGCCATGTTGGGTCCACTATTGGCCATGCCCTCTGGACAAGGTCAGAACATGAGTTTTTTGACAATACTAAAATCAAATTAAGCTAATTGACTTTTAGTATTGGAGATAAAACTGGAGTTGGGAAAAAAGATTCTACTATTCGACTATTGACAAGGTATCATTATTGGCTAGACAACATTAACATCCTGTTTTTTTAATGATGTTTTGCTCTACCTTCGTGGGGACCACCTATAGATGAAAAGTCCCCAACTAGTGGAACTGTCACCCAGGAGAAGGGTCTCGACGTGAAGATCTCCCTGTCCACACAGCTGTCATGCATGGCCAGGGCGCCACTGCATGTGCTCTTGCAACCAACCCGGAAGGTGACTTACCTGCTATTCGGATCTCTTCGGAACCAGTGATTTTGCAAGTCTTGTCACAGTCAGGAAACCTGAGCTTAACATGTTGAGAAAAATGGTAGACAGACAGAGGAAATTCCATGCACAATGGACATAATTTTTGGGGCACTTAAGGCTATCTACTATGAGCAATCCCGGAACTGAGTCTAGATTTCTACTTCAGTCTGTAGGCTCTGGCATGCTCTGGCTGGCTCTGGCTATAGTGTTCAGAACTGTTCGAAATATGGCAGACCCAACATTTTGTTCAATGGCCAGGAATGCGAAGGTCAAATATGGTCAAGTCCTGATTAAGTCGCCAGATCAACCGTGACCTTTATAAAGGGGGTACCCAGAAATGATTGAGCCGAAACCGCCGCCAAAAGCATGATTTTCCCAAGGTGTTTGGTACTCTGTCACAGACTGAAGATGATTTGCCGTGGATCGAAATCAGTTGTCCGGAGGCGGATCTTAAAACATGCTGTGGCTTGGGAAACACATCTGGGATTCGATGGTGTGTCTGAAAATGGCGTATGCCCCCCAAATGAGAATGTTAATAGGAAACATGTAACATGATCTGCCATGGGATTTGGATTTGGAGGCACCATTCTGATGGTGATCTACAAAATTGACTTGGGTCTTTGGAGTCAGAATGCTGCATACGGCATTCCTATGGTAGTGCTTGATTGTGTTATTGCAGAAAGGCCTCCCTAGAGAGGTTCTTCAAACGTATGCCATGTATGCCGAGATGTCAAATGTCGAGGTCTAATGATCCCATTCTTATTTGGTTGGTGGTTTCAGACATTTTTTATTTTCCATCATATATGGGATAATCCTTCTCATTGACTTTCATATTTTTCAAGATGGTTATTGCACCACCAACCAGTTATGGTGTCGATATCCATTCGGACCTGTTGCCATCCGGCGGACCTGGCTTTGGCTTGGCTGGATCACTCGTCTGGCGCTGCAAAGCTGTGCAAAGCAGGTCTTGGTCCGGGCTTCTGCCGTTGGATTGCAGCATGGTTGGTCGGACAACGGCCACAGGTCTGGTGGGGGGCTATTTTAACCACCTCACGTGATCATTTCAGCTGGTACTGATAGATGATGTTAGGTTCTTCAGGGATTCCAATGGGTTCCCATTTTTGGTTGAATTCATCCTGAAACATATGACATACCTATATATTATATATTATATATAATCATAATAATAATTATTATTATTATTACTATTATTACAATTATATATACGTATATATATATATCATGACACACACACACACATATATATATATACATACACATGTCATACTTATTGATGAGACATGTTTTTTTGAATGATCCCTACCTGACCCCTTTCTGGTTGGGAACTGCAATCCGGTAGCCCGGTAGGTGCCGCGCTTTCGTGGTGGAAGCTCGACAGTGTCCGTCGCAGGGCCAGGAAGCGACCAGTTGGAGACCACTGCTGCAGATGGAGCGATTGCTGTGACTTGGATCTGCAAAATCTATGGAACATCAATGGTTAATAATCGGAAAAACTATGGTCAATAATGGGAACATCTATGGAAAAACTATGGAAAAACTATGGTCAATCATGGGCATATCAATGGTTAATGATGGTTCATGATGTGGTGAACAACTGTTAACAACTGTTAACAACTGTTAATCATAGCTCCATGAGGGTTTCCTAAGTCATGGGGTACCCCCCAAATATCCAAGGCATATGACTATTTTAAGTATTGAAATCCGTGGTGACTTGGGGAGCCTCCATTTTCAGACCCCCCCATGTAGAAATGTGTTGAGTTTTTCCTTGATACATGAGAGGACATCAGATTTGACATCATCTGAATTACAGTTTGATACATCCAATACATGAGTTTTTTTTGTTTGATACATGATACATGTTGATACTACCCATACGCCCCATGTGTGGCATATTTGCCAACATTTACCCCAAAACCGGCCGACATGTGGGAAAATAAACCATACATGGAGCATATAGGGCTAATTGGGATAATGCATACGATTTTCACAGGCAAATTTGAGATAATTTGATATAATTAGCAAGAAATCCGGGCAGACTACCATCCAAGTTTGGAATGATGAGTAACTCTTAGGATTATATACTATAGTAGCAACATATTTGGAAAGATCCGCCATTCTCACCCAAATTTGCAACCAGTTTCATCTAGTTTTGATGCATTTTCCCTTGTAATGAGCTGCAGCATGTCGACATTTCTCCTTCCAGTGACAGTTCTACGCCGCAGGTTGGATGAGGGTGAAGTAATTCAAATCCCGTTTCTTGGTTTACCAGGTGGTTGGATCAGATTCTGGGCTTCGTATCTGAGATATCCGATACCATTGGGTGTCCTAGTTGATGTTATCTCATCTTGGTTGGAGTGTTTCTTGCTTCTACCCCACCTCAGTCTGTCAACGTGACCGCAAGATTAGGTGAGATTCCTCATAGAAACCAGGGGGGCAGTTGAATTCGTGCAGCAATGAATTGGAGGCTCACTCACTCCACCAAAAGTGGTCTAAACATACTGGTATTTGTATAACCCAGGGAGCCCTGCTGTACATATTGCTGTTGCATTTTCTTGGATTCTACATGATTAGAACAATATATTATAGTTGTTGATAGCTGTTCTATGTTTCTGCCCATGCCCGCGGTAGTTGTCATACAATATCTGGTTGTTGCTTACCAATATTTCGGGGATTGGTGGGCAACATTTGCTACCTGAGGTCTGACGGGACGGATGGCCAGGAGGCGGAAGTCTTCAACAACTTCCGTGTGCGCATGACAGGTGGGATGGGGGGCGGTTGGAGATTCTTGGATCCTGCTTTTAAAGATGTGGCCATTTGCTGCCCATCTGATGCTCTCTGAAAAAGATTCCCGTTTTTTTTGGTGGGAACTCCTCATCTTTTATGGAAATCCTCTAGACATGCACTATTTCTATGGCGGAGAAAAATCCCTTGGAGATTCTGGAGGCCCCCAGTTGTTTCAACTGGGCGGCCAGGTCGGACGACTGCGTACACCTGGCACTTGATGCTCTCGTGGTTCGAGATCTTTGGGAAAGTGATGACGTACAATGGAATGAATGATGGAATCCGGATCTGAATTCCGGCACTCACTATGTGAGCTATGGTCAATACTCATGGTTAATAACCATTAATAGGGGCTAGTCATCCAATGGTTCATAGGGATTTATAATAGCCATTATAAGGATCCTTCTTATGGATGGGATGACCATCAACCATATAGTGAGTATTGACCATGGCTCATGTGATACGCCGATGTGATACTTTGTAGAAAGCAAAAGTGTGGACAGCTCAAGGAAAATCTGCACGTCTTCGCTGTCTTCGCTCGGATCCGATTTTGGTTCTTCCGTTTGCTTCAGAAAAATTCAAGGATTCCATCAGATGGCTCAAGAGGTTCAACTTGGTTGTGCTAAAAAGTCGAAGGGCTGTTTTCCTTTTTGGAAGAAACCCAACGTCTAACTGACAGCACCTTTTGATACTGTCACCACCACTGGATAGTCTTTTGATTCTTCCTGGTGCAACTGTGAAATCTCGCAGCCACACTAGATAAGAAAAGCACGCAATAATTGGCGAAGACTGCCGGAATTGACGCTGCATGAAACTCCGGCCATCCAAAGGATACACCCTGAGCAAACTGGAGGCATTCCAGTTGCCATTCGTTCGGTGGTAACCAGTCACAGCTATGAAGCTTGTTTGTTTAGATGGGCCGTGGGGCTAACTATGTTAAACATAGATAGCTATTGATAGACTATTGTAGAATTGGTTGATTGTGGGTGTCAAGAGGTCATTTTCCAATTCACCACAAGTTTTAGCCAATCCCATAGCTCATTGAGTGGATGATCATCCCACTGTTGACGTTGACCCATAGGAAACTGGTTACCAACGAGTGTGGCAACGCAAAGCCCCGGGACTGCCCTGCAGACTCAAAAACTGCGCAAAACTGCGCGTCATTTGAGGATGTGCAGCCAATCAACTGATGGTCTTAGACTCAGCTGTGTGGCCGTGCCCTTAAGTTGGACGTCCAAACTCATAACTTGGCGACTGAAAGAACATGATGTCATTTTCCACGAGTTTGGTGTCACCAATTTCTGGGAAACGCCATGACTGGCTGTTGCATGGATCGGCCCTTGGGACCCCATGATCAAAATGGGAGGGTGGCGCGCTGGCGCTGCACTTATGGGTGGAAGCGGAAGGTTTGTGTGCGAATTCGCTGTTGTTCATTCAAGCATTGTTCATTCAAGCATATTAGAGTGGCTTAGATAGACCAATCCCGTCAAGGAACTTATATGCTGCCAGGGCAACACTATTTGAGCTCTCTTACTTGAGGGATCTTGAAGGCAAACTAATGCATACTATTACTTGAGGGCAAACTATATATAGAATGGGCTAGCGCCCGGGTGCCGCCGACCCCCCCTATTTGGGGGGTCCTGCAGAGAGAGGGAGAGAGATAGATAGATGGATGGATGGATGGATGGATGGATGGATAGATAGGTAGAGAGATAGAGAGAGAGAGAGATAGACAGATAGATAGATAGACAGTTGGATAGACAGATAAGTAGATGGAGAGATAGATGGATAGATAGCTGGATGGATAGATAGATAGATGGATAGATAGATAGAGAGGGAGAGATAGATAGAGGGGGAGAGAAAGATAGAGAGGGAGAGATAGATAGATAGAGAGGGAGAGATAGATACTCCGACGGCATCCGACGGCATCAGCGGTTCAGTGGGTCAGTGGCGCGTCGCTTCCGGCGGGCCGTGCTGAGGTCGATGGTGGTACATGGTGGGACAGACATGGACATATATGTTTTGATATGCCCCAACATGCCGCAATTCAATTTGCCACACAATGTGCAATGTGTATGCAATGAGTATGACGCTACAAATTTGAAGTCAGACCTCAGTTCATATTTTTAAGCATATTTGGCCTCCTATCATTGTATGATTGGTGGTAGAGTATCATTGATTTTGAAACTCAGGGATAATCAAGGGTACTGATCTCCGGAAGCTGCTGAGCTTGCCGCGCCAGGGCCACGAGTTGTGGCGCCTCATCATCGCCATGGCCTGGAGCTTCACATGGTGGGGCCGAGGGGTTGGGGGATGGGGTTGGGGATGGGGTGGGGTTGGTGTGTTGGGTATCAAAAATATACTAAAAAATGGGTGATGGGGGTTGGGGGAGCTGCAGGGAAGCATTTGGTGGGTTTTGCGGGCGGGTAAACGGCAGGCTTGAACCACCATAAAAGGACAATGCCGGGGCTGGCAAACGGCATGGGAGCCGCAGGGAAGCATTTGAGGGTTTTGCGGGCTGGCAAACGGCAGGCTTGAACCACCATAAAAGGACAATGCCGGGGCTGGCAAACGGCATGGGAGCTGCAGGGAAGCATTTGGGGGAGTTTTGCGGGCGGGCAAACGGCAGGCTTGAACCACCATAAAAGGACAATGCCGGGGCTGGCAAACGGCATGGGAGCTGCAGGGAAGCATTTGGGGGGTTTTGCGGGCGGGACGGCAGGCTTGAACCACCATAAAAGGACAATGCCGGGGCTGGCAAACGGCATGGGAGCTGCAGGGAAGCATTTGGGGGGTTTTGCGGGCTGGCAAACGGCAGGCTTGAACCACCATAAAAGGACAATGCCGGGGCTGGCAAACGGCATGGGAGCTGCAGGGAAGCATTTGGGGAGTTTTGCGGGCGGGCAAACGGCAGGCTTGAACCACCATAAAAGGACAATGCCGGGGCTGGCGCAGGGAAGCATTTGGGGGGTTTTGCGGGCAGGTAAACGGCAGGCTTGAACCACCATAAAAGGACAATGCCGGGGCTGGCAAACGGCATGGGAGCTGCAGGGAAGCATTTGGGTTTTGCGGGCTGGCAGACGGCAGGCTTGAACCACCATAAAAGGACAATGCCGGAGCTGGCAAACGGCATGGGAGCTGCAGGGAAGCATTTGGGGGGTTTTGCGGGCGGGCAAACGGCAGGCTTGAACCACCATAAAAGGACAATGCCGGGGCTGGCAAACGGCATGGGAGCTGCAGGGAAGCATTTGGGGAGTTTTGCGGGCGGGCAAACGGCAGGCTTGAACCATCATAAAAGGACAATGCCGGGGCTGGCAAACGGCATGGGAGCTGCAGGGAAGCATTTGGGGAGTTTTGCGGGCGGGCAAACGGCAGGCTTGAACCACCATAAAAGGACAATGCCGGGGCTGGCAAACGGCATGGGAGCTGCAGGGAAGCATTGGGGGAGTTTTGCGGGCTGGCAAACGGCAGGCTTGAACCACCATAAAAGGACAATGCCGGGGCTGGCAAACGGCATGGGAGCTGCAGGGAAGCATTTGGGGGTTTTGCGGGCGGGCAAACGGCAGGCTTGAACCACCATAAAAGGACAATGCCGAGGCTGGCAAACGGCATGGGAGCTGCAGGGAAGCGTTTGGGGGGGTTTTGCGGGCTGGCAAACGGCAGGCTTGAACCACCATAAAAGGACAATGCCGGGGCTGGCAAACGGCATGGGAGCTGCAGGGAAGCATTTGGGGGGTTTTGCGGGCTGGCAAACGGCAGGCTTGAGCCACCATAAAAGGACAATGCCGGGGCTGGCAAACGGCATGGGAGCTGCAGGGAAGCATTTGGGGAGTTTTGCGGGCTGGCAAACGGCAGGCTTGAACCACCATAAAAGGACAATGCCGGGGCTGGCAAACGGCATGGGAGCTGCAGGGAAGCATTTGGGGGGTTTTGCGGGCGGGCAAACGGCAGGCTTGAACCACCATAAAAGGACAATGCCGGGGCTGGCAAATGGCATGGGAGCTGCAGGGAAGCATTTGGGGAGTTTTGCGGGCTGGCAAACGGCAGGCTTGAACCACCATAAAAGGACAATGCCGGGGCTGGCAAACGGCATGGGAGCTGCAGGGAAGCATTTGGGGGGTTTTGCGGGCGGGCAAACGGCAGGCTTGAACCACCATAAAAGGACAATGCGGGCTGGCAAACGGCATGGGAGCTGCAGGGTAAGCATTTTGGAGTTTTGCGGGCTGGCAAAACGGCAGGCTTGAACCACCATAAAGGACATGCCGGGGCTGGCAAACTGCATGGGAGGCTGTCAGGGAAGCATTTGGGGAGTTTTGCGGGCTGGCAAACGGCAGGCTTGACTCAACCCCATAAAAGGACAAATTGCCGGGCTGGCAACGGCATGGGAGTCTGCAGGGAAACATTTGGGGTGTTTTGCGGGCTGGCAAACGGCAGGCTTGAACCACCACAAAAGGACAATGCCGGGGCTGGCAAACGGCATGGGAGCGGCAGGGAAACATTTGGGGGGTTTTGCGGGCTGGCAAACGGCAGGCTTGAACCACCAGAAAAGGACAATGCCGGGGCTGGCAAACGGCATGGGAGCTGCAGGGAAGCATTTGGGGAGTTTTGCGGGCTGGCAAACGGCAGGCTTGAACCACCATAAAAGGCAATGCCGGGGCTGGCAAACGGCATGGGAGCTGCAGGGAAGCATTTGGGGAGTTTTGCGGGCGGGCAAACGGCAGGCTTGAACCACCATAAAAGGACAATGCCGGGGCTGGCAAACGGCATGGGAGCTGCAGGGAAGCATTTGGGGAGTTTTGCGGGCTGGCAAACGGCAGGCTTGAACCACCATAAAAGGACAATGCCGGGGCTTGCAAACGGCATGGGAGCTGCAGGGAAGCATTTGGGGGGTTTTGCGGGCTGGCAGACGACAGGCTTGAACCACCATAAAAGGACAATGCCGGGGCTGGCAAACGGCATGGGAGCTGCAGGGAAGCATTTGAGAGTTTTGCGGGCGGGCAAACGGCAGGCTTGAACCACCATAAAAGGACAATGCCAGGGCTGGCAAACGGCATGGGAGCTGCAGGGAAGCATTTGGGGGGTTTTGCGGGCTGGCAAACAGCAGGCTTGAACCACCATAAAAGGACAATGCCGGGGCTGGCAAACGGCATGGGAGCTGCAGGGAAGCATTTGGGGGGTTTTGCGGGCTGGCAAACGGCAGGCTTGAACCACCATAAAAGGACAATGCCGGGGCTGGCAAACGGCATGGGAGCTGCAGGGAAGCATTTGGGGGGTTTTGCGGGCTGGCAAACG